GGAGTGAGGTATCGCAACTGCCAACGATATGGTTGGCAGCCCTGTTGCTGCTTCTGGTATTTTCAAAACTGCAAGGAAAGGGGCAGTGATACCCTCTTCTGCTTCTCCAGTAAGGCAGCTGGGGAAGGGCTTTGGCTCACTGGTGACTCATGCTTTAAATGCAGAAGGTTCCAGGTTCAATCCCTGGTATCTCCATCAAAAACTTGGGAGTTGCTGGCAGTGTAGACAATACTGATCTACATGGACCAGTGGTCTCCACTTGGTAGAAAGCAGCTTTCTATGCAATTGTAGACACTCTAAAGAAATCTTTGATACCCTAGCCCCAACATAGTAAAAACATATTTCAAGCCCACTCTACACTTAGAAATCCTAGAGTGAAGTGCAATACATAATCAAACCTAAATGAAACATCAACGACAGAGGTCCCATGGATCCAATATGTCAGGCATGTTCATCTCCACCAAAGAACAGATGAACTTAAAACTAACCAAAGTTTTAATCAAATAAATGATGCCACCATCTTCTCCGATCCTCCGCAAGGAAGGGTTGAATTACATACTGGACAAAATATCAGAGCAGCACAATGTTTTGGAACTCCCTCCACAAAAAAGATGCACAGCTGAACCTGCTACCTTGATTGTGAAGGGATGGAAAGAAATTCTTTACAAACTAAGAGGAGTTCTGTTAATCTCTGCTGCAGAGGGAAATTAAAGGCTTGAAGTATGGTAAAGGTTTTGTATGAGATTACCTTTCTTGTTAATCTCATGTAAGGTTGATAAAGCTCACCCATCATTTTTTTCACCAAAAGATACATAGGTATCTTCAGCTTTCATCTGATCAGGACATTACCTACCACAGTTGTTGATTTGGAAGTTCCCATCTTACTCCATCAGTCATTCCCCTGAGCTTGAATTCGGAGAAAACCATAGGCTAGATGTATTGTAAAGTTTTTCTCTGAGAATAATTTTCTTGTTAATCTCATGGAAGTTTAAGAAAGGTTGCCCATTCCCCCCCCCCCCAAATATATGGAGGCATCTTCAGGACATTACCTGCCACGGTTGTGAATTTGGAAGCTCCCATCTTACTCCCTCTGCCATTCTACTGAGCTGGAATTGTGATGAAACCATGGTGTGCAAAGCATGTGCCATTGCATAGACTGCATTGTAGATGGTATAGGTATGAGCAGTCATTTTAATTTCAAAAACAGACATGGGAAGTGCCTCCATCTTCTCCTCCCCAGTGCAGATTTGCCCACCTATATTATCTGCCACTGAACTGGGGAATGAACAGTTAAATGACTCTTCCCAGAAGTCCTTGATAAAACCATCTTCTTTTTCTGTGGTTGGGTTTTTGGTCTGAAGGAACTTCTGGAAAGCTAAGAGATTCACTTAGTGAATTGCAAGGGAAAGAGAACCATGAAGGAAACTTATGTCCCAATTTCTTTGAAATGGAAATGATGTGATATCCATCTGGGCTGTCAGGAACCAGACTTTGCCCTTGGTCCTCATTGGTATATGTTCAAATTGTACAACTTGGGGCACCATTTTCAATGCCATCATGGTCTGAATTTCTCCATGTACAACCACAACATTTGTAGTGCTTCCCATTATAACACTGACACTGTGAAAGCCCTCCCCCACCATGTCAGTGATACCACTGGATGTTGTTTGTTTGGGGAATTTTTCTATGAAGTCAAAGCAGATGCCACTCTGGGAAAACATTGGAAGTACATTCTCTATAAACCCTTCTGTATTTTCCCCATCTTGAGAAACCACTCCAATCCATGTCCACTGGAAATGCAGCAGTAACTGGATAATTCCTCTATATTGATGGTCTCCATTTGGAAACATCTGGTGGAAGAAAACTCCTTGAGATTGTTGATTCGTGACTGGGGAAGAACCATATATAAGCTAAGGATTTAAAAAAAGAAGTAAGGAGGGAAAGTGATTTTCAATTTTAAAAAGTTGCTTTTGTGTATTTGTGTTGTGTGTGTGAATTTTTAGTGAGAGGCTTGCCATATTGTCCAAACATCATTGGAAACCCAATCCATCCTTCAATGGTTATATAATGGGGATTAATGTGAATGAAAGCCAATTGCTTCTATCAGTGAGAGGCAATGCCACACAAAGATATGTATGACCCACTACTATGAGACTGTGGAGAGCAGCTCATTTTACATTTTGTGTTCAAACAACAAATTTTATCTTGAAGCTGCTCACAATAGTGACAGCATTATTATGATTATTTTTTTAAAAAAAATATTACACTCAGCATAACAATGCAAACTCACAGTGATTCAAAAAAACAAGAACAAACACAATCGGAAATAGCTGCTGCATAAGTGAATTCTCCAATGATGAGTGGAGGATACAGTCCTGCCAGGGTCACCTTCTACTGTTCATTTTTGGCAGGGACTATGCTGGTGAGGCAGATCCTACAGGTTGCAAGATTGAATTCTCTGCTTACCTGCCAGGGTCTACTTTCCCTGTGCATTCCCTGCAAAGAATACGCCAAGGAAGCAGACCCTTGCAAGCAGCAGGATTGAAACCTCAGCGCACCAGATGCTCTGCCTAGGGGATTCTACTGCTCCATCTGACCGTGTGTTTCAGTCCACTGCTTGGTACAGTCACGCACTGACAAATCTTCCGACCCAAGACCCTGTCCCTGACATCCTAAGAGCACTCCTGGGGGCCAGACTGAATTTGGGACTGTCTCTACCTAACTCATCTCATTCCACCCAAATTGGCCAAATTAAGTTCAAGATTTGGGCTTTGGCTGAATCTGATGCACCATCCTTACAACTCCTCCTTTATTCCTTTCTCTGTGTATTCATGTGTCAGCGATGGATAGATCTGTCAATATTTAATCCCAGTTTTGTATTTTTAAATCTTATGTTTAATTCTCCACGTAACCACATCAATTAGCTTTTTAAAAAAAGCCTCATGAAAATTCATAAATACAAATCTTATATACTATTTTCCCTTACATGCACATTTTTCCAAAGCAATTTCACTAATACATTGCATTTTAATGTTATTTTTACTAACGTGCATTTTTATGCACAGTTTAGCTTCCTCTATGCATTTTGACACATTGTTTGACAGGATACATTCTTTGCACAATTCAGGGAAGTGTGAATTTTGGAGAATGGCTGCATTTGATTTCATGTATTGCTTCTGAAAGCATGAATTCGGTGAAATTCAGGTGTGAATGAATTTGCATCTTACTTGTGGTATCTTGTAGGTAGACAGGATGGGTGCCATGTGAAGACAGACATTAGAGTTAGGTCCCCCAATGACTGCTATTGGAGTGCTCTCAGCATCACATTTATAGTTAGGGATGGCCTTGGCCCTTCTTGAGAGAAGCTCTATTGAGGCTTCATAGGTCCAACTTGCACTGAAATGGCTGTTATAAATGTGGAAGCCCAGGGTGGCGTTGGGCAAGATCTGGGGATTTTCATTTATCTCCTTTACAGCAAATGCCAAGGCCAGGATGTGCTGGTAGAGGTGAGTCAGCACCCTGTATTGAGAGTTACATGCCACATTACAGTTCATCTGCTTCAGATCATAACATTGACTTCTTTTCAGTGCAGTATCCAATTCAAAAATAGTTTGTAATCTCACATTTCCCAGGTGTGTAAAAGAAGACTAGATTATGAAACAGTATGTGAATCAGTAGTATATGTGGTCACCTAATAATAATAATAATAATAATAATAATAATAATAATAATTTAATATTTATACCCTGTCCATCTGGCTGGGTTTCCCCAGCCACTCTGGGCTGCTTCCAACAAAACACTGAAATACAATAACCTATTAAACATTAAAAGCTTCCCAAACAGGGCTGCCTTCAGATGTCTTCTAAAAGTTTGGTAGTTATTTTTCTCTTTGATATGCATGAACACATACACACACACACACAAGCAGATGTGCACAGACCTTCTCCCCACATTTCCACTTACTTGATCAGGTTAGTATGTGTGCAAGCAAGAATTCCTATAAGCAGAAAAATGACTCCTTCTCTATTCTTCAAAGGATTACTATACCCAACAGTGAATGTGCTTTTTTATCCACTGCTACAACTACTTAGGCTTTAGTGAAGGGGGAGGGCTAAGAAAATAATAGTTGAACTTGGCTTATGTGTTAGCTGCTCTGTACTAGGAAATACATTAAATTTTTCAAGATGCATTATAACTCCACTTTTTCCTACCAAATTGAGTAGGAAAACTTAATGATCTGTTTACAATACCCCAATTTAAATCAGTTCCAGGAGTTCTGTCAAATCTCCCAAAGTGAAATGGAGAGAGAACACAAATATTATCTTGCCTAATACACTGTTTATTGCCATATTGAGTTTACATAACTTTCAGAGGATGGGTTTAGATATCAGATTCCTGCTTGTATAAATGTGAGATCAAATGCGGTGGATGTAAGGAAATGAGGGTTAAATTATAATTATTTGTCAGACCACTAGAGCTAAATCCAAGTGAAGTCCAACAGGCAGCCTGGGTATGTTATAAATTTCTTTTGGGTATAATATATTTGTTTGTTTTCAAAATTCAGCTACTTACATATGGTCATCTGAAAATTCCCGAGATGGGTGTTTTTCAAAGGATAGGGTATCTGAAAATATGTAGATCTGAGAAATAATGCCAGCAATGATGAGATCTCCTGACTGATAATATTTGTGAAGAATAGGGACAGGTTCTCTCATGGAACATTGAGAAATATGCAGAAACGTGCACATCCCCTGCACCAACAGTAAGAGCACCAGCAACCGAAACACTACCATCTTGAAAGGGATTATTCATTTAGGCACAAGTTCACCTCTTCTGTTACTGCCATTCCAGTGATCCTGAGCAGCAAAGCCTAACTCGTATGGTCACTCACTCAGCTGATTCAAAGCCAGACTGATGAGTCTAGGTATGTCTACAGACCGAACTCTGTATATTTCAAAGTTATTCATTAGACACTCTAGTCTCATTTTTATCATTCTGCATGTGGACAAAGGAGGTCCCTAGGGAAGGGAAGAAGATGTAATTTTGAATAATTTGGTAATTACAGACGTAATCACTTGCTCTGAGTTACAGATTCTCTGTAATAATATATCAAAAACATGTTCATCACATCTCAGCCAAAGTCTTTTCTTAAATGGGAGAGATAGGTGCTAGGTCCCTTCTTTTATTTAAACACACTGGCTGGGATGGCTGTAAATTTATTTACAGAATACTACTATTCCCCTCCCGGGGGGGGGGGAATCACCTACTTACATATGGTCATCTGAAAATTCCTGAGATGGGTGTTTTTCAAAGGTTAGGGTATCTGAAAATATATAGACCTGTGAAATAATGCCAGCAATGATGAGATCTCCTGACTGATAATATTTGTGAAGAATAGGGACAGGTTCTCTGATGGAACACTGAGGAAGAGGAAGAAACTTGCACATCCCCTGCAGTGGCAGTAAGAGCACCAGCAACCTAAACACTACCATCTTGCAAGGGATTATTCATGTAGGCACAAGTTCACCTCTTCTGTTACTATCATTCAAGTGACTGTGAGTTGTAGAGACTAACTTGAATGGTCACTCACACAGCTGATTCAAAGCCATACTCATTATTCTCTGTATATCTATAGACACAACCATGTATAGTTCATAGTCATATTAATAAGACCCTCCATTCTTAGTTTCATCATTTGCATGTGGGCACAGAAAAGGGAAGGGGAGAAGATGTAATTCTGAATAATTACAGGAGAGGTAATCACTTGCTTTGAATTACAGTTTCTGTGTAATATTTTAAAGAAAACATATTTATCCTATCTCAGCCAAAGCCAATCAAGCACAGTAATCCCATGGGCATTGAACCAACACCAGCTGATGGCATGGCTCCCCAAATCTTTTTTCTGATGAGAGCAGATTTTGCAGCTCATTTGGAAAGCCAAGACCCAGGGTCTAGAGGAAGAATGGGGAGGCACACAATGCCAAATGCTTGAAGTCCAGTGTGAAGTTTGCACAGTCTGTGTTGATTTGAGGAGCCATGTCATCAGCTGGTGTTGGTCCACTGTGCTTCATTAAGTCCAGGGTCAACACAGCCATCTACCAGGAGATTTTGGAGCACTTCATGCTTTCTTCCACAGACAAGCTTTATGGGGATGCTGACTTCATTTTCCAGCAGGACTTTGGCACCTGCCCACACTGCCAAAAGTACCAAAGAAAGGAGAGGATGAGAGAGGGCAGGAGAACATAGGTGAGGTTCCAATTATTAGCTTTTACTATGGGAGTGTCCTGGTGCTTGATGAATATTCCAAGAACCAAAGTTATGATTAAAGAAAATAAAACGGCAGATGTGTTCAAAATGATCCCCAGGGGTTTGCTGTAAGTCAGAAAGGTTATGTATTTTGCGAGGCATCCATCTTGGCCAATGTTTTGATAATGATCTTCTGAACACTGAAAACAATCATCCATGTCTGAAATCAAATATGAAAAATAGATATAAAATGGTATTTAAGTATGGCATTCTGTTCCTGAATGAGGGTAGTGAACTTGAAATATCAAAAGTTAATTTTGCAGTAAGAATAATAGGAAATTCTACACATTGAGCATAATCTGAGCTCAATGGCATCAAGGGCCTTCTTTCTCGTGGGTTCCAAGCAAATCCAGAAATATAAATAAATCAAAAACAATCCTACTAGCAGCTGAAGGTTTCAGAGGCCTCTGTGTCTATTGATTTGTGTCTTTGGGGGTGAAACTTGCAGAGTCTTTTTTTTTAACTGATCCAACCCACTGGTATTCTTATCCTCTTTGGATTCATCTGATATTCTGTTCAGCCACCCACATTACCTCATGTGAAGTATGTGGAAGAGAGCCCTGGATCGTTTGACCATTTTATTTGATCTCTTTTGCCTCCTATAAAAACTGTACAAGACACTCTCTGATTAAAGTTTAAAGAACAAGTAACTTTGACTTAGTAAACTTGCAGTTGCAAAATATTATGTTCAATGCAGGTAGGTGATAGTTAAATTGCTTATACGTTTTACAAAGATTAAACTGTTACAGACTGACTAACTCTCAGGCAGACAGCAGCACAACAGAACAAAGCTGCTGCTCTAACTGTTAAGACTGTTGAACTAACTGCCACAACTGCCACAGAGTGGATGACATCCCAGAGTTCTACTGTTCTTTCCATTAACCCTTTACACATGTGAATGTTAGAGCAATTAGTTTAAGCATTTAAAACACTGATGGGAGCCAGGTAGATTGTAGTCAATCTATTTATAAAATAGAATACACCCATTTGTTAAATAGGTGGCAACTGTCAAATAGAACACATCTGCATATGACATTCCTTACCTTTTTCATTTGAAACTTTTACTTCTGGACCTGGAAAGCAATCATAGCAGCAAAATGCCTTCCCTTCTTTTTTAGCTCTTCTATAACCTGAACTGCATCTATCATTACATATGGAAATGGGATATATCTGTTAGTAAGTGATAAAGTAGTTTTTATACAATCCAAACATAAGTGGTGGAGCTTTTATTTCATAATTATTTCTCTGCAGTGAAGGAATCGATTGATACTGGCATATGGAAATAATATGAATTCTTGAGTGTACATCATATTTATGTGGTGAACTTCCCTATAACTGGAATCCTTCACCCACATTAAGAATGGAAGAGACAAAATAGACATTATGACAGTGTCACTTGAATTCTGTACATTTGTCTTCAGCATTCTAACATCCACTTCAAAATCAGGAGACAATGTGAGTTTTTGAACATTGAGGAATTATTCAATATATCCCCAAATGAGGCAGGATGATGGTTCTTCTACTCATAAGTCCCTTAACTTTGTCAGGATTCCTGGTTCCCCAACAGAGAAAATGGCTTTTTCAGAGCATCAGGGGTAGTTCCCCTGTTCACTCTTTTTTCCATAGTGAATTCAATAGTCAATATCTGTGATTGCCTAACATCAATCACCACAAGGAAAATCAAGAAAAAAACATCAAGGAAAAAATCTAGGAAAAACATCTAGAAAAAAATCTAGAATAAATTATGTAAGGCAGCTGCTGAACACGTGTTTGCAAATATTCAACTGCACACAAAGAAGAAAGCACAAGATACAGCAAAGTACAGGTTATTATTTCTTTACTTTCTCTTCCTTATTAGCTGTTCCCTATTGTTCAGCTCAGGCCTAAGAATGATTATGTAACATTTGGGAGAAAAGATGCAGCCCAGCAACCCAACACCGGAGGCTAAGATGGAGAAGATCTCCACAGCTACCATATATTTTCCCTTGGTGCTCAGATAGGAGGGAATAAAGGACAGCCAAACACTGCAGAAGACCAACATGCTGAAAGAGATAAACTTAGCTTCGTTGAAACTGTCCGGTAATTTCCTGGCGAGGAAAGCCATAACAAAACTCACAGATGCCAGGCAGCTCATATAGATGAGGACACAGTAAAACATTGCCACACTCCCCTCATTACATTCTAGTATGATTTCTTCCATCACAGAGTGCATGTCCACATCTGGGTATGGGGGAGAGGTTGCCAGCCACACAGTACATATGCCTACTTGGACTATGGAGCAGGAAATGAGAATGGAGTGGCCTAGTCCTTTCCCCACCCATTTCCTCATCCTGGATTCTGGTTTTGTAGCCATGAAGGCCAAAACGACAGTGAAGGTTTTTGCCAGGACACATGAAACAGCGGTTGAGAAGATGATACCAAAAGCAGTTTGTTGAAGGAGGCACGTCACCTTCTCAGGTCGGCCAATGAAGAGCAATGCACACAGGAAGCAGAGCAGGAGAGAGATGAGGAGAGCGTAGGTGAGGTTTCGGTTGTTTGCAATGACAATGGGCGTGTCATGGTGTTTTATAAATGTACCTAGTACCAGAGCTGTGATCAAGGAAAGGGAAAGAGAGAAGCAGGCTAAACTGATGCCCAAAGGTTCTTCATAAGACAAGAAGCTGATATCCTTGGGTAGACATGCATCCCGGTTCTTGCTTGGATATTCTTTGTCTGGGCATTTATTACAGTCATTCATATCTGGGGGGAAATAAGGAAATGACCTTTAGTTCATATCACGTCAGCTTCCTGAAATGTTGACTATCTGTCTGAGAAGAAAAGAGCTCTGTTCACATTAAAACACATGTTTAATACTGTCTGATGCTCTGTAACGTGGTATTGTTGCATTAAATCGGTTCAGAGATATTGGCCTGTAAATTGCAGAGCCAGGGCCATTCCTCCTCATGATTTTAGAATGTATCTTTACACTAGCCTGGGTAAGTCAAAAGGAATGGAAAACCCCTTCTAGATTTGATTTGAAACACATACCATCCGACTACTCTCAATGCATAGTCATTCTCATTAGAGTAACATTTTTAGGCTATCTGAAGGGCAATGATCACAAAGAAGCAGGATCTCACACACAGTAGATCATCTTCTGTTTTGAAAATTAAGTCAGCTGTCCTAATAGCACCTTTCAATGCTAAGTACTGAGTCTGGATCTATTTAACTATTTATTTCTCTTACCATCCTGGTTTGCAATCTTCCCCTCAGCACATGGGATGCAATCGTAGCAACAAGGCGGCTGTCCCTCCTTCACTTTCTTGCTGGATCCTGGAAGACATCTCTCAGTACAGACAGAAAGAGGCTGAGTCTATTCCATAAATGAAAGAACAGAAGGATAAGCAAGAGAACAATGAGTTTGGAATCCTTTATGTTCTTGGTCCTTTCTCTGTGTTACTAAGCTGACAAAGCATTTCAGTAATATGTAATGGCTATACAAAGAGCCATTTCTTCTTTTCTTATTATTAATATTAATGTTTGAAATTATGTGATGTTCCCTCTATATTGCTCTAGGATGTGCAGTGCCCCATCTGTTAAGCAAACATTGCTCTGTCCATTACAGTACACTTTGAAGTTACTCTAGTTTCCCTGTTTATTTTGTTATAATTGTTACTTTTAAGTATTTTGTCCACTTGGTACACAGCTCTAGAACTGATTTTGGTGCCAGTGGGTACATCTATTCTTGAACACGTCCTGGGGAAGTGTTCCAAATCCACTTTGTAGCTTCATGGTCTCTGAGCATGTATACCCTCTTGTGCTGGGGAAATGCACCCAGAGGCTCCATTTGACTGGAAGAAAACCTGCCCTTCTATATCCACACCCTTTCAAAGAAAAACTGGTATTTGACCCAATGACCCACATTCAGATGATGAATTGTGTGATGCAAAAACCACATTTGCATGGATGCTCTTGTAGTCAGGTCTGTGAATGGTTGGGATTAGGGTGAGATAATCTAGTTTTTGTTACAATGGTACCTTGGGTTAAGAACTTAATTCGTTCTGGAGGTCTGTTCTTAACCCAAAACTGTTCTTAACCTGAAGCACCACTTTAGCTAATGGGGCCTCCCACTGCTGTTGCGCCGCTGCTGCACGATTTCTGTTCTCACACTGAAGCTAAATTCTTAACCTGAGATACTATTTCTGGGTTAGCAAAGTCTGTAACCTGAAGCATCTATAACCCAAGGTATCACTGTATTTTAATTTGAACTAGGATCCCCTAAGGCATATTTCCACTGTTAGCTTTGCTTAACTGTTTTTTGTAGTAAAAGGGTTCTTCTGTTTTGCAACCTCCTTAATAAAATATTTGCCTTTAATCCATGTGTGTCTTCTAGCTGTAAGATTTTGGCTCTTAATCTGGTACCTCATTGCTTTGGTCATATACCACTCCTCAACTTGTGGCTCAAAAAAACAGTGAGTAGACCTGCAGGTGGATAATGATTGCTTATTCAATACTGAATCTCTTTTGAATTAGCAAACAATGCAACCCTACCTGGTTAAACCAGCTGTGCCATGTGATGGCATCTTCATCAAGGAGTAATGATTGGTGTGGAGGAGCTTGTGGATCTATCCTCCCAACTCTCACTCGGTGCAAACTTTGGTTGGTGAATATAATCCAATTGATAATATCCAAGCTAGATGCTGCCTCTCCATTCTGGTTGATGAAGACCACATCTCCTGCAGTATTGTTAAATGAGATGCTTCTCAGAAAGTGATGGAGCTAGATTGAAAGCAGAAAAGAAAGGGGTTTAGAAAAGACTGAAGTCTAATGCAGGGAGGAGCATTTTTTCTCTCTGGAAAGAACCTACAACAAATGGTGGGGGGGATTTAGTCAATTGTCAGTGGATACAGGCCCAAGCATGGAGAGAGTCAGCCAATTTTCTTTCACACACATGCATCTCTCTCAATCTTCCTTACAATCCTTCTTTCTCTGATTGTCCACAAATTAAATATGTTTAAGCAGCAAGATCTCTCTCTCACTCACTCTCCGTCCCTCCCTCCCTGAGCATCTCATAAGACACGGCAGTGGTTTGTGACCACAGGCTCTAAGAAAGGAATTGGTTGATATCGGATAGAGGGAGTGCTGAACATCTCCCTAAACCATTCCACTGCTTCCTATCTATGAATGGCATGGGATCTCATTGGGTTGCAAAGCTTCCATCATGACAAATGCTTTCTCCTCAAGCATGGGGCAGTAACTGCCCAAAGAAGGACACAACCATCATTTCTCTTCCCTATAGATTCTACAGCCATTTGCAAGCAGAAAAATATATGGGGAAATCATCTAGGATACCATCATATCAGTGTACCTCCTACTCTGTCTGCAGATTATAAATTCAGTTCTGGGTTCTTGTTCCACATACACTAGTGCAAATGCTTGAACTCTGAAAGGAAAGAGCAAGCTGATAGGATTTTGGGAACCCTAAAGTGTCAGGAAGTAGCAGTGCTTTGCCAGTTGTGGATGTTCAGCCTTTACCTGCCAAAATGGTTGATTCAGATTCTTCCCTCTGCCTCCATATGCAGTTCCTCTGTGTCTGAGTCTGGATTTGAACATGGCATGTAAAGCATGGGCCATGGCGTAGACAGCACTGTGGATGCTGTAACTGTGGCCTGTCATGCTCATTTCAAAAAGGGATCTGGGAAGGTCCCCCAACTTCTCCTCTCCAGTGCAAATATTCCCCTCTGTCTTCTCTGCAGTGATATCTGGGAATACACATTCAAAGGCCTGTTGCCAGAATTCCCCAATAAAACCGTCCCCATCTGTGCTGGAAGGGTTTCTGTGCACAACATACTGATGAAATCCTTGTGGGTTTCTGAAGTGAATTTCAAAGGATATAGCACCATTGAATATTCCTGCCTCCCAGTACCTTTGAAAGACGAATGTAGCAAACTCAACCTGGGCTGTTGTTATCCATACTTTACTTTTTACATACTTGGTCTTGTCATCATGTTTTGATATGTGTGAAAGCACCATAAAAGTTGCCATGGAGTAAGATTCTCCAGAGGCAACCACTACGTTAGCTTTGCTGATGAAAATTTTCTGGCTTATTGTTGCACCCTGTTGTAGCATGTCAGCAACTTCAGCAAGAAAACTAAATTTGCGGATTCTTTCTATGAATTCAAAGCAGACACCACTCTTGGTAAACATTGGGGAAATGGTTTGCACAAATCTTTCTCCATTCTCATCGTCCGTTGCAATGACTCCAATCCACGTCCACCTGAAGCGCAGAAGCAAAGAGAGAATTCCCTCATACTGAAGGTCTTCTGAGGGTGCCATCTGGTAGAAGGGAAGCCCTGGGCTTTTATCATTCATCACTGGAGCAGAGCCATAAATGAGCTAAAAGTAAATGGAGGAAGAGAAGAGACAAAGTAATATTTGCAGAGTTCTTTCAAACTACAGTGGTACCTTGGGTTACAGATGCTTTAGGTTACAGACGCTTCAGGTTACAGACTCTGCGAACCCAGAAATAGTACCTCAGGTTAAGAAATTTGCTTCAGGATAAGAACAGAAATTGCGCGGCAGCAGCGGGAGGCCCCATTAGCTAAAGTGGTACCTCAAGTTAAGAACAGTTTCAGGTTAAGAATGGACCTCCAGAACAAATTAAGTTCTTAACCTGAGGTACCACTGTATTCATATACATTATTATGTGGTGAATCCTGTCAGTCAGACATGCACTTTGCCACCCACCAGGGTTTGCATGCCCTTTCTCATTTATACAAAAGACACACATGCAAATGGGCTCAAAATTGAGGCCATCTCTCATTCCTGCTTGTTAAACATTTGTTCTGTTGACCACAGAGGGGCATTTTCCCTATTATATTCTTTTTAAAAATATATATATTCCCAATTTAGCAGGGTTAAACTGAATGGAGGGACACACGATGTCCTAAACAAAGGATTGCCTAACACTGTGTTAGACATTATTTACTGCAGCCACTTCAGAACTGCCACTTGGGTCAGATGCACATTTCTTCTCTGGAGCTTCTTTTGTCTTCACAAAGCACATGCCCCAACACATAGCATAACTGCCATTTCTGCCTTTTCTTCTTCAAGACTTCTCAGACTTCATCTATGAACATTTATTTCACTTTGGAACCAGCTGCTCAATACTATTGCTGTTCTCCTGCACAACTGGACAGTATCTGCAATTTGCCATAACTCCAGAGTGTGTTTAATTTGAAAGCCCCCCCCCTAAATATTCACATATTGGGTGTGGTGTTGTGAAGACAAATAATTATTGTACTTGGAAATACTTGTGAATTTTAATCCTATTACCAATTCCCCCGCTTCCCCTGCAACTCAATTTAGATACCCTTCTCATCAAGCAGGAAATGCTGCAAATACAAAAATGGCTGGTGAGGGTGGTGTGCATGGTTCTGTCCCCAATTTCATCCTCGCCCTGAACTGGTGATACACTCTGAACTGGTGCTGTAAATTCAGCCTCATTCTCTATGCAAGCTAAGAGAGGTATCGTACATGGGTGTCTTACCTGTGGAATCTTATAGATATCCAAAACTGTTGCCACATAAAAGGAGATTTCAGAATCCAGTCCCCCAATGACCCCAGCCAGATTATTTTCAACATCACATATATAGTTTGGGACAAATTTCTCCACCATGGATAAAAGCAGCAGTATGGCGAGATATGTGCTCCTTGCATTGTTATAGCTGTCATACAAGTGAAAACCCAAGGTGATATTGGGTAAGATTTGAGGGTCT